GTGCAAATTGAATGCTTTAAACATTAAATTCGTGATTTCAAATTATGCTGCGCTTTATGCATTTGCCCACTGTCATATTCATGTCATTTTCACTGTGTGCTGTATGTAAAATGAGTATTACCTTGCTTTATATGATAAAATATTATTAATGCACACAAACTTCCCAAAATACTGAGTGCTCTGTTGGTTACAGTTTACTTCCTTTTTAATTATATTTTTATTAAATATTTATTTATGGAAAATACTTTGTCATCTAAAGTATAAGTATGTTTATTTTACACATTTATTTTTTAATCCATTTTCAAATGATTTCAAATTTCTTTTAATTAAAATGAATACTATTATATCGGCCACCCTGCTTTACAAGATATCGGCATCGGCTGTCAAAAAACCAATATTGGTCGACCACTACTCATAAACAAGAAAGCTGCTTTTCTGGTCATTATCAAATGGTTTTTGTGCAAGGTTACTCATTTTCACGGCAGGTTTAGAGAGCAAAATCTAAAGGCCTGAGTCAAACCACACTGGACGCACAAGCCTGTTTTGAGGAAGGATATCGTATCCGAAGCGAATGACATCTGATAACTTCAGGGTGATGTAGGTCTGATCGGGGATGCGAAGGTCATTCACGAAGGTCTGGCAATGAAAACAAGGGTTTGTCAATGTTAAACGCTTGATATTTCAATATAAAGACAATAGTGACTATACAATATACACTACCGGTAAAAAGTTTGGGATCAGAACGATTTTTTATGTTTTTTTACAGGAGTTTCTTCTGCTCATCAAGGCTGCATTTATTTGATCAAAAATATATTTTTGTGAAATATTATTATGATGCAAAATAACGTTTTTCTATTTTAATATATATTAAACTGTAATTTATTTCTGTGATGCAAAGCTGAATTTTCAGCATCATTACTCCAGTCTTCAGTGTCACATGATCTTCAGAAATCATTCTAATATGCTGATTTATTATCAGTGCTGGAAACAGTTTTTTTGGAACCTGTGATACTTTTTTTCAGGATTCTTTGATGAATAAAAAGTTAAAAAGAACAG